AAGTATGAATGTTTTTACACTATTGAAAGGTAGTGTATTAGCATGATTTTTCTTGGGAAACGGGGTGTAATGTTGTCTGTACATCTGTCCACTGTCACTCCCTGAATCTTGCTGACACCATTATTTTTGTTTTGCAGATGGGATTCTTCAGGAGGCATTACAGAGAAATCATAGAGGCGGAAAAGAACAGGAAGGACAGCGATGAAAGCTGGGATTGGGTCCAGAAGAGCCAATGAGAGCTTGGATTGGGTTCAGAAAATCCAATAAGCTGCTACCTTCATCACGGCTCTCTCCTTAAACCCTCCAGCCTTCCATATGTGGAAGAAAAGAGTATTCTCCAGATTTTTCGGAGGTTTGACACTTTTTTTCATTGGTGATGGTGATCTAGCTGACGTTTAAGGTGACCGTGTGGCCTGCCAGAAAACACTCGCAGTGGAATACCATTGATCCCAATGGGACAGGCCTCTTGAAGAGACGGAAAGAGAGACTTCCTGAAAAGGAATGTGGATATTGTGTCAATACTAGCAGACAATTACAACCCTCAGGGCGCTGTTGAAAAGCAGAAAATCTATTTTTTATAAAATGTATTCCATACTATATAGAAGAGATCTTCAAGAGTTGTTTTTAAAGCACTGATGACTGACACATGCCAAAGAGATGATGTTATTCCTACACAGTGTTTGGGGAGACCTTGAAGATGGATTGTATCTCTTTATCCCCTCAAGTTTTCATTTACAGAGAATACATAGCAAACGTTTGTGTCCTTCATTCGGACAACTCTCGAGCTACTAAATGTCATGAACAAACGAGAATGAACCGTTATCCCAAACATTTATCAAACAAACTGCATTGCAACTGCTCGAGTTGTTCATTTCAGTCCAGCTGTGCTAAAAAACTGACAGAGAAAAGCATCTATGTTCTCAGCTCAAACACGTTTTGTTCATGATATGTGAAATTCACAGCTTAGAGCATTGCTTGTTCTGCACTGGATATTGACCCCACTGAAAGATGCATGATATTCCAAAGGAGAAGTCTTCATAATCTTTCACCAAAATATATTGTCTTATTTTCCAACATAAAAACTTTTCATTATCTAATCAATTCTTAATGGGTGCAATGAATCAAATCCCGCCCTACAAATTCTCCTCATTGAATCCTTTTTCACTCACAATGTCGCAATTCTTTGATTTAAGATCTCAAGATAAAAACAAGTCATGAATTACAATTCTACTGCAAGTATAAAAATATTCTTTTTGGACTTGCAGCATGTTCTGTGTTGTTCTTCTACAGTCAATCTAACACCATAGAGTATGTGTCTCCTGCTTTTTAACAAATCCCACGACAAGTTTTTTGACGTTCAGACTACACGTGTTTTAACCATGTAGGACCTGCAGTGTGTAATGGCCTAAAAATAGGTGGGAATGTGCAGTACTTCATCACTGGGCACAAACTCGTACTTTGGAGCTTATGAGAACAGCTTGTTTGGACTTCACTTTACATGAGCTGTTCGCTGTCAGACTTCACATCCATTCTGCCTTTAACCGCTCAAACAAAGCTTGTTACCAATGCAGAAACGGCACGGAGCCCAAATAAGTTTGATAGCTTTTTAATATAGAGATTTTAAAATATCTCATCTGAAAGACAAAAATGGAGCTGATGTTGTTTTTAGACGTTCATTGAATTTGATTGCTTGTTTAGTCACATTTTCCATTACCCTTTCATTTCAGAGGGTTACTTTGAAAGTAAATGTTTACCAAATGATCAATAGCTTTGCAATTGGATGTCAAATGATCTCTGGAAAATTTTCAAATATATATATATCACCATGGCATGGCACAAACACGTCTGCATTTCATGTCCGGCCCAACACCAGCTTCTTGCATCGGTGTGTTTCAGAGAGACACATACTTGACATTGTAAGTGTGTAACATAACTGTGAGTGTTGTTGCCATTATCACCTATTTTGAGCATTTTAGAATAAACTACTGTCACTGAATTTCAGTTTTATAGATGTATTGAGAAATATGTTTGTTGTACAAGCTCAAGCTGTATATTTATCTACTGAAACTGCCATTTTAAAATTAAAAATCACAAACAGATGTTTCGTCTCTGTTTTGTTTCGGTGCCACCCAAAATATTTGGTGTAGCTTGTAGCGCTGAGGCCCTCTAGTGTAAAACTAGCGTACTGTTTACACTTCACTGCAGTGTTCAATGTCTGCTATATTTGACTAACTTATGAACAAATTCATTATACAATGATATGCTTTATAAAAAATAAAAGTAATATGCTTGAGTAGTAGGAATTTAGCAAATGGCGTCTGGTTATCATCTTACAAATGTTTAAAAACGTCTCTTTTGAATTTTAGGCGAATTTTGTTTTAAATGACTTAGTTTTAGCAATGCAATCAAATGATGAGTCGGGATGTTGAAAATCACAGTTTATATAGAATGGTTAATTCATACTGGAATACAGTATCACAGTTTGTTTTTATTATATATTTTGTATTCGAAGGATTGCTATATAGAGTGATGGATGGAATTACAAGTTTGCATCAAGTACTCAAATTGTTCTCGGCATCTGTTTAGACATTTAAACAAATGCAACTGCACAGAAATTAAAGTATTGATTGTTTTAGTTGTACTTGTTGTTATATAATTACACTAGCTCTTTATCTCACTTTTGGGATAAATGACTGTTACCATGGGACATCCGAGAGCCAAACACACAGTGCTGCAACACTGCATTATTCATTAGCTCGTTCATTGTGTGACAGGCAGAGCACTTGCATGGAGCTACTACACCACCAGGTATGCTTATTTTAATATATCCATAAGCATAGAAGAGACAATGTCAGTATCTGAAATTGTTTGACCTGATATCCCAGTCTCAGAGTAGCACATGTAATGTTTTGTTCCTCCTCAAGTAATGCATTTATATAGACAAGTGTGATAAAGTGCTTATTTCTTGTGCTAGAGGAATGACATCTGTACTGGAGGATGGCTTGATAAAAACGAGCTCAATAGAGCGGGTTGCGGCTCCTCTGTCCTCTCACCTGTGTCACCTCATCCTGCTGTGCGGGAGCGAGACTGAACTCCTCGAGTTCGTCCCACTGGAAGCTGCCGCTAAAGCCGTGGCCAAAGCGTCCAAAAACATGGCAGCTGTAGCAACGAGGTCAGTTGCATGCATTTTTTTTTTCTAACGGGGTAGATGTTGAAGCATATAAATATTTACATTATCAAATTTCCCTCAGGCAATCTTCTACCTGAATGTTCCATATAATGTGATAATATAATTTAAATCTATAAAAAAAAAACTTAATCTGTTTCTTCTGCACATTCATTCCATTTTTCATTTGCACATTCTACACTTCCATTTTGCACATACATCTATATGTTATTCTATCTATATATATATATCAATATTTTTTTATTATTGTATGAATTGTATTTAAATGTAATCTAAATTACATTTAATTTAGTTTAAATGTACTGCTTTTTTTATTATAATATTATATTTCTTTTTTTCTGCCCTGAAAGCTCGTCACAGTGTGTGTTTTCCTTGTGTGTGTGTGTGTGTGTGTGTGTGTGTGTGTGTGTGTGTGTGTGTGTGTGTGTGTGTGTGTGTGTGTGTGTGTGTGTGTGTGTGTGTGTGTGTGTGTGTGTGTGGACATACATGGCATTCATTTTCTGATTCTGAAATGTTGCCTTATGAAAACAAAAGTGGGGTAATTACTATGGTACATGAAAAAAAAAAAAAAAAAAATCACTATATATATATACAAAAAAAAAACATTAGCTTGGTACCATGTGTGGGGAAAAAACAAGAAAATACCATGCTACTTTTTTGTTCTATGGTATACCGGGACCACAGAGGATTGATATTCACGTTATTACCTCATATCCTTGCATTCAGGCTAGTGGCAGACACTGAAGACGAGATCCTGAAGATGGAGATGGATCCACTTGTGGAATCCCTGACTGTTTCAGGTCAACATGTGCTCCTGGCCACCCAAAAGCTCAGCATACAACCAGAGGTCATGGAGCACAGAGAAGAACTCATCGAAGCCACTCAAAACGTGCTGTTAGGTGTGGTCAAGGTAACATCTTTTGTGCTGTAAAGAAAAATAACTGATTTTCATAACTGAGTTATGGGTCGTGTACTGTGCTGTAGGCTCTAGACCTCAGTGTTTACTTTCTTTAGTCCTTGATCAAACTCACCTGTCTGCAGTGTTGGGTAAGTTACTCTAAAAAAGTAATTAATTACTAGTTACTAATTACCTCTTCAACAGTGTAATTAGATTACTGTACTAATTATTCTTTCGAAAAAGTATTGAATTACTTTTAATTACAAATTACTTTCTAAATCCCATATCAACCTTAACCAGCTGAATAATACAAGAATAGACATGAAACTGTTTTAATTCTTTCAAATAAATACTATTAAATTGTTTGGTCAGTTTAAGGATAATTCATGCAATTTTAAAGGAGAAGGTTACATAATAAACATACTTTTTAACATCAGACAATACATTTTGATGTTTAAACCCACTATTGTTTTATATAGAATTGTTCTAGTTAATACCAGTCTGATCTCATGACATTTCATACTTATTTTACAAGGTGGCTAATTCGTACGAATTTGTACGAGTGAGGTCGTACGATTTACCCACCTCATAAAATGCATACGAATTGCTGTGAGATCGGATTGGTCTATACACAGTATTTAGCTCAATTACATCAGAAGTAACTGTAATTAAATTACAGAAAAATTAAGAGTAATCCCTTACTTTACTTTTTGCGAGGGAAATTTATTCAATTACAGTAATTAATTACTTAGTAATTAGTTACACCCAACACTGCCTGCCTGTAACTTTCTATTAATCCTGAAGACTTTTGCTGTGCCTGAAATCGCCCCCTATACCCTTAAATAGGGACAAACCTTTGTAGTGGTGACCATAGTGGAAGATGGCCCTGTCACAAATGAGACCTAAAATGACTAAATGGGACGGTCTCATGGACTTAACGGATACGCGCACTCGGCAGCCGTTGTAAGTCCACAAGACCGAAAGTGCATATGAGGTGTGCCATTTGGGACAGGGCCATTATCGAGTGCACTCATTTAATCCCACAATGCACCGCAATAACGAGTGTTCAACTGAAGTACGCTCAACAACTAGAGAATACCCATAATGCACCGTGAGAGTCGTGTGCTAAATTAATTACCACGTCTGACCAGAAGATGGCACCGCAGTTGAATCATCCATCCATTTTCCAAACCGCTGGTCCAATGTGGCTACAGTGTAATATCATACAGGTATAAAGTCCTTTTTAACTGATTATTTTATTGTTAAATTAAGGTTTATTCATAGTTTCCATGACAGAGTTCAAGATAAATCTTTCCATCTTACTACTGGAGCTGCCAGTTTGTTGTTTCAAGTGATTATTAAACAGCAAGCAGAATCTATGCAAAAGTGGAACTCAGTGTCCGAATTTACTCACTCGTTTTCATTCACTCCCTCAAGTCAACTATATTAGTGAAGTAATGTAGGGAATAGTAAATGAGGGAATAGGGGGCGATTTTGCACACAGCCATTGTTTAGCTTATTCATGTGTGTTTGATTAGGGTTGGAGGAAGGAAAGTGAACCTTGAGGGCCAGAGTTAGGAGCCCTAGCCTACATGTTTGGGTCCAGACAGTAATTCTTATTCTGTGAAACGACCTGCAAAATTCACATGGGGAATTCATAGTTTATTTAGAGTTGTGCTGCAACCCTAGCCGTAAATCTATCCCTAACCCTTAAACATGAACTTTCAATCAAAATCTTTCGAGTTTTGCAGAAAAAGGTTTACCATCTAAACACAATCGGCTTTTACATGATTGAAATGCCCCCTATTTCAATTGTTTTTGACTTATAGATCCTCCTAGTTGAAGATGATGCAACTATAAGGAAGATCACAGCAGCTGCTGACTGGCTTCTGCTGTGTCTTTCTCAAGTTGGAGCTGCGGCGAACATCTCGTCCTTATTAAAAGCATTTCAAGTATACTCGAAGGCAATGCTGTTTCTTCACAAATTAGTGGTGGAAAGAATTCAGGAACTGCGTGACGGCAAACAGCAAGAGTATTTGAGGGCTTCTCTGGAAACCCTGAAAAAATGTGTTTCCATGCTGCACACTGCCATGTACACGACCATCAAACATCCAAACAGCGAAGAGGCTCAGGGTGCAAAGCAGTACATCTTAAACCAGGTGGATTCAACTGTAACTCACATCATAACCACACTCAAGAGCAACTGTGAACCAGCTTTGACGGGTTCATGTGGATACTACACTGGAGTACAGAACAAGATACTAAGACTGCTGTCTGACCCTGCTTCTGTTAAAGATGGTGGGTTTGATGTTATGCTTCATGACCTAGTGTTTCACAGCATGGCGGTAGCAAACACGTCTCGGAGGGATATTCAGTTTGAGGTTGCTGCACACTCCAAGCAAGTCCTTCAGCTCTGGTCAGAGATGTCACAACACATGAAATGCTGTGATGATCAACAGCTTGCAAAATCATGTGCTTCCCTATTGCAGCAAATCCACAAACTTGAAGATGCTGTGGTAAAAGCCACCCAGTTGCAAGTAATGAACATATTTGTCACAAGTTCAACTCCCTTGGAACAGTTGGTGCACACCGTAGGCTATACTTTCCAGGATGAGCAAGATGATGATGATGGGTTGGATGTGGAAACACTTTGTGTGCAATTGGAATCCTTCACGGCTCATGCTGACAAAATATCAGAGGTGGCTGGCTTCATCTCAGCTTTAGCGTGTGATGAAAAGAGTCTTGAGGGTGTAGAGAACTCAAGGGGATGCATTATGAGACTGAAACATGCAATTGCAGCACTTGTGCAAAATTTTGAGGAGGACAAGGTGCGTTCAGGTGAAGCTCTGGAAAAACTAAAAGAGATGCATCAGAGATGGTCAGAGGAGATGGAGCAGCTCTTGCATGCTTGTAGTAGCATTATAAACGTGAAGGACTTTGTCTGTGTTGCTTTGCAGGAGATGGAGAGCAACTTCAAGGGGTGCATTGAGGCACATAAAGATGAGGATGCACAGTTTCTCACAAAACAGGCAAGCATGCTCATTGGCCATATGAGCTTGGTTATCCAGCTCGTGAGAAGACATGTCAGTAGGAGTGACAATCCAATCTACCGTAATGGACTCCTGGTTCTGATAAAGCAAGCAGAAGGATCTGCAGCTGAAGTTGCAAGCTGTGTCACTGATATATATTCTCAAACCAGTCTTAGCAACGAGGCTTTCTCATTGCTTTCTACTAGTGTCTCAACAGCTTTAAAACACTTTGACATTCTACGTGAAGGACTTGATGGTTTGCAGCATCCACATCTTCTCAGCCCACTTCGGGAGGGGGCCCGCCAGTCTGCTGGGGCTGTACCATGTACTACGCCCGTTTCAGAACACGAAAGCTTAACTGCAGACTCTGATAAAACTGAATCTTTAGTGCAAAGTTCCACTAGTGAAGAAATTCCATGTCAGCTTGAAGTTGGTTTGGAGAATCAGGCTGTTCAAATAATAGACCATGTTGTGTCAATCGCAGAAGAAGCATCGATTGCACCTGTCGTGGAATCTAAAGCTGTTGTACAGCTCCATAATATTGAGATGTTGCCTCTTTTGTGTGAAGTTGTCTGCATGACCAAAGGTAAAGATGTAGAGGCTCTCAACATGGCTTGCACTGGAGTTCTAGGACTCTCAAATAGCTATGCCCAAGCTACAAGAGAAGCCATCAGTGTCATAGACGCAGCTGATAATGATGAGGTGGAAAGTCTGCGGTCCAAACTCGTGTCATTGACACCCTTGCTAGTTCAGACAGCGCAGGAAACAGCCATGAGCTCAGCCATGGGTACAGATAGCATTTATAAGCACAGTACGCAATTCTCTGACCTCATAAAAAATGTGCGGAAGATATTGCTGCCAGTGGCTGGGATGTGGTACCATGCTGTATCCTCCATGTTCCAAAACTATGTACCAAATATGTTGGAGTCCATCACGCAGGAACTCACTGAGGTCATGTGTTTATGTGCAGATGCTGTGCAACTTGTGACATCAGCAGATATAAAGTTGATAGGTGGTGGGTGTCATGAGAGTATAGGGTCTTTGCAGAGCAAGCTCCAAAAAGCTCAAACCAACACCAAGAATCTCACAGACATAGTGGGTTCAAGACCAACTCGAACTGATGAGCTTGATGGTCACTGCATGCTTTGGGCCTTGTCTGTCCAAGTACTGTTGAACTCATTGGATAAGATGTTGGGAACTACTACTACTGATGGTAAGGGGCACCTAATTACACATCAAATGACACCCAAGAAATGGTTGGCAGTTTTGTCCGAGAACTCACTTCGTATACAAGAAGCCGCAAGATTGTCTTCTCTGAACTGTCGAGACACCTATAAAGTAAAGCTGCTAGGAGAGCTACAAGAAGACGTGAAGACGCTGATGGACTCCTACCTACAGGCTGCGGAAGGGGTTAGTACGGTGTCCCTCTCAAGTGTCCTGATGCTGGCAAAGTCAGAGTTGCTTCAGAGACAGCTTCAGATTAAAATGAAAGCACTGTCTTGTCTTTTGAGCAAAGTTAACCAAGATTATGTGATGGCGATTCAAAATACTATTGCTTTGGCATGGTCGGTCCAAACAAAAGACAGTAACATGGAAACTGAAGATAAACTTGCACAATTTGAAAGTGCTGCAGAATTGCTTTTGCAGAATGTTGAAAGCGCCGTAGAGTCCATCCAGGACTGTTTCAACTTCATTAGAGACCCAAAGGAAAGGTCCAATCTGAGATTCATTAATGACCACTTGACATTTCAGATGTCAGACATTGTGAGTAGAGCCAGATTAATAGCAGAGTCGCAAACTCTTGGAGACACACTCACTCTTGATGTTCAGTCACAGTGCTGGTCAGCAAAGGCACATTACCTTGTTGAAGAACTCAGTAAAGTAGATGGAATTCTTGTGGTCACAAAGGAACAGATCAAGTGTGGCTTGCAGGGCAAAGAGTCTAGTGGATTTGTCATGTCCCAGACACAAAAGGCAACACTACATCCTATTTCCACAAATACTCAAGTTCCTATTAAAAGCAAACCAAGTACCAGTGTCCCAGATGTGTCCAATCAGGAACCAAAGAAGGTAACACAATTGTTTATGAATCATGTTATTGTACAAGAATTTAGACTAAGCCATGTAAAATATAATTTATCTACCCTAGGAAGAGACATCCCAGAGGAGCCCAAGAGGTCCTGTGTTCACCTTAGTGGGTACAACTCTCTCTTACACGTCTCTCTTTCTGAAATGGGAGACTGAGAAGTGGGACGACAAGGGTAACCAGATTGTCAAGGTGACAAAAGAAATGGCAGATAAACTCTATCACATGGCCCAGTACCTAAAGAAGAAAGGGCCAATCCAGGTCAGAAACTTTTAAAGTTTTGTTTTGAACAAAGGTTATGTTCCCATATTGACAAAAGTTTGTTTCACCTGTAGACTAAAGATGCTTTTGTAACATCTGCTAAAGATCTCGTCTCAAGTGGCCAGTCGATCACCCAGTTTGTGCGTGTCATAGCGGACCACTGTTTGGACAAGCATTGCACAGATGAGCTCTGTGTCATTGCAGAGCAGATTCTTACCATTTCCAACCAACTTACCATCATATCTAGGTGAGAGATAATCAATAGCATATTAATCTCCCTGAATCCCAACAAATCTGGTTGAAGGTCTTTCTTCTCTACATCACTGACAAATTCAATCTTGTTTAAACGACAATATTACCAATAAATTAAACGTGCAAAAATCTCATGTGACCCAAGGGGTGCATGGTGTCTCTCCAGTGTTAATGCAGTTACTCCTGGGTGCAAATCATCAGATGAGATCCTGGTGAAGAACGCACAGAATCTACTCCAGACAGTTATCCAAGGAGTACGAGCTGCAGAAACTGCTTGCATCAGGGTAAGAGAAGTTGAAAAAGCTTTACTCCAAAATAAGATTTAGGGAGCAAACGGTTCACTGTGGTGAACATACAAGGCAAAAAGGAAACCAAAGTCTGGTCCATAACACCAGGGAATGAGTCAAAAGTAGTGGTGTCTATCTTCTCTTGTATGTCATCTGGCATGATCAACTTTGATGTTTTCAATTTTAAATGGCTCTATCTGCTTTTACAGGGTTTGAAACAACCTGAGCCAAACTCTGAAGCAGCAAAAGCAGCAGCTTTCTGTTTCCAGTGGAAAAAGAGTCTCCTTATCCATCGAGCTCAAGAACAGCTCAACCCTGAAACCGATGATTTGGGGCTACGTAGGACCTCCCAGCATTCAGCGGCTCCCAGCCTCGCTCCACCCATCAATGTGTTAGAGAATTACAAACGAGTAAACATGAAATAAACTGTTTTTTTATTTTTGCCTGTAACTTTTGGTTTTATTCTGTTGTTACTGTATAGTGAGAAACCATAAAAGAGCCTGCACACAATCTGCTGTGTGATTTTCAAAAAGAAATGTATTCAGAGGCCATAAAAATAACATAACAAAATGTGCATAATGCAAAGTCTAAATAGAAATTGCATGCCTGATCACATTTATAAATCATTTACCACAATACTTATAAAAAAACAACTTATATGTTCAGACATTTATATATCATAAAATTAATGTGTAGAAAAAAAAACATAAATACAAAAAATATTAACTTATATTCCTGAAATCTAAAGGAAGAAAAATATGTTGAAGAGGTATACATATTTACGCATTCAATAATTGCGAAGAATGTAATCTTACATTAGGAATGTTCTTTTTTAACACAGTCTAATTGTTTTATAATATATGTTTAAATTACAAACATTTTTGACGATAGATTTCAGCATACATACATTTCAGATATAAGATCAGATGTACAATTTGTACTTAGAAACAAATGATGATGTGACATTGAAACTATTTTTTTTTTGCACAGAGCACTTTATGGCCTCTGAATAAACATTTACTGTAGAACGTATAAAATGCATTAGGCAGAAGGCTACAACAATGACTGAAGTCAACATCAGAATCACATAATTCATTTAATTTATTTTAGACAATGAATTTAAAAAAGGAAGAAAGTGACTGCTGTATTTAAATTCCCTTACTAGCATTGCAGTCAATGGTAAAAGAACACAAAAGTAATTCAGCATTTTCTGTGGAAAAATATACAAACAAATACAATAAAAATATCTACACAAAAAAACAATGACAATAAAAAAGATGAAAAATGCCTCGTGTTAAAAAGAAAACCATTTACAACAGAGACTCTGAAAGGAATCTCATATGTTAATCTTTTTCCTCACCAAAATCACAACTGTACCTTTGATGAAAATGCACGTTTTAGATAAACGAGACATAGAAGTTCTGCTATATTACAGTGTTTATATATGCTTTGTATGTAGTTATGTGATAAATACTGTGGGAATTTAGCAAAAATGTATATTTTTAATAGATTTATGTATTACACATTACTACAAATATGAATACTAGAAGCCACACATCCCTTTTAACCTTCTAAAGCAACAATGTGTCACTGATATCACAAATACGCACCTGATCAGCAGACTCTGCTTTCCAAAGTGTCCATTTACCAGATACAAATGTACTTAAAATGCTTCTTGAGCAAATAAAGTCCTTTGCTGTGACACAATTGACTATCTAATGAGAATCTATAAACACACAAGAGCCAAAAGAAAAATATCTCTGCTTAGACAACGATGCAGCAGTGGAGAATATGTGTACAAACAAATATAAATAAATAGAAAAGCTTCATATACATGCAGGGTGAATACAAAGAACAGAATACAGTAAATGCATGAGCTATATTCAGTATAAGTGTGTTTACTGACAGAATGGTGAGGCTGTCGGGTCAAAGGTTTTAAAGACATCCCTCAGGGGCCTGTCTTTCTTCTTACTGTCTTTGTCGTCCTCATCCTCTTGCGGAGTCCCACCGGCAGATCCCACAGGTTTGTTCTGGCGTGGGTCCGTGTAAGCAGGCCGTATCAGTCCTGCTAGTGCCTGGATGGGCAAGTTGTGCACAGCGGGAGCTGGTGCTCGAACTGGGGAACACGGAGACGCTGGCATTACTGTAGCCACAGGAGGAGGAGGAGGAGGATTTGACGTACAGCCACTTGTGTTGCTCTCAGAGTCATCAACTGGACTTTTCTCATCCTTTTCCATCCCTGTTCCCTGTGACGGCGAGGCATGTGGTGGAGAGCTTTGGAGCTTCGCAGAAGGCTTCAGGATACTCGGCTTTTTAGGGTGCTCCTCGCTTTCACGTTTCGGCGAGAGTAAGCTGTGATTGCGCGGATCGTATAAACTGATCCCACCTAAGAGCGTGGTTGGACTATCAAGACCTGCACCGATGGAAGATGCCAGACGGGGAGCATATGGAGGCAACTTCTCTGAATCGGACTTAACAGAAGCGGCGACAGGTTGGTTTGAGGATCCACGCTGTAGCCGTGGATCTCCTCCTCCTGATGGACTCTCTCTCACACCTGGAGGCTTGGAGTCCAGGCTGCCAGATCGGCTGATTCTGGGATCAAGAGTCTTGTGAGTACGTGGGTCCAAGGGCTTATCCGGATGATGGTGGCGAGAATCTACCGTTCTACCGGGAGGGCTCCCGAGTCGACTAACACCCTCCTTAAAGCGGGCGGCTGCGAGACGTTGATCAGGAGGAGACGGAGTCGCTGATGGAGGGTGATCCGGAGGGGAGGAAAGGGTGCGGTTAAGTTGAGCATCTGCTATTAAAGGTGGGAGCGGCAGGTTTATGGAGTGCTCCTGTTTGGGAATCAACAAAGGAATGAGGTCTTCTGGAGCCCAAACCACGGTTTGAGCAAAGGCCGGACGCTGGAGGAGAATATCCACCCGGATGTGACTAAACGGCTTAATCTGACAGCGCGGGTCTCGCAGCGTGGCTCCAGGACTGGGATCCAATGGGATCAAGGCTGCTCTTTCCCTTAGCTCTCTTTCAAACTCCTCATCATCCTCTCCAGTGGGCGGTTTGTGGGACCTGGAGGGGTTTGGGTGGCGATGAGCATCAGGTTTGGAGGCATCCATAGGTTTCATCTTGCGTGGGTCTCTGGCAAGCCTGGGATCCCCGACACCATCTCCAGCGTCTTTCCTGGGGTCTGGAGGTCGCTGACGTGGGTCAGTTTTTATTCGAGGATCGCTGGGCAATGATCGCTCCTTTTGGAGTCTCGGGTCGGCTGGTGGGATGCTTGGCTGGTTTTTCAGCATATCATTCTGCTTCTTTAGAGAATTAAGGATGGCTGTTACGCTACTGCCCTCTTCCTCGTCACTGGAGTACCAATTAGGGGTTTCATCTAATAAACAGAAATGATATTAGAATATGAACTTTCAAACCAGAACCAATAAGTATCCATCTTTGCTAGTTTATGACTATCCAATAATAACACTGGTGGTTTGACAATATAAAAATCAGTTCAGTTCAGTTCTACTAGAGTGCTGCAGGAATTATGTAATTTTGTAGGCCAACGCTTGATTATTACAAGTTTTGTCTTGAAAATAATCTTCACAAATTAACCCAGTTTTAATGAATTTCAAAGTCTAAATACAATTGCCAGAATTAGAAAGTTAAAGTTAGGGTATAAACCTTTGTCAGCAAGTTTGCAACAACTTTTTCAATGAGTATGTTTACATGCACACTCGTAATGCAATTATAATGCGATTTTGGCCATATTTCCATTAAAGGAGTAGTTCACTTTTAAAAAAACTTGTGCTGATAATTTACTCACCCCCATGTCATCCAAGATGTCCATGTCTTTATTTCTTCAGTCGAAAAGAAATTAAAGTTTTTGATGAAAACATTCCAGGATTTTTCTCCATATAATGCACTTTGCTGGGCAGCAAACGGTTCAAGGTCCAAAAGACAGTTTCAGTGCAAACTGCAAACTGTTCAAAGGGCTTTAAACGACACCAGACGATGAATAATGGTCTTATCAAGCGAAACGATCGCTCATTTAAAAAAGAAATAACAAAGTTTAAGTTTTATAAGCTCAAATGCTCGCTTTGCTCTGTTCTGTGTGACTCTCCTGTTCGAACTCGTTCATCAAAATGAACGAAATGCACTGAAACTGTCTTTTGGACCTTGAACCGTTTGCTGCCCAGCAAAGTGCATTATATGGAGAAAAATCCTGGAATGTTTTCATCAAAAACCTTAATTTCTTTTCGACTGAAGAAAGAAAGACATGGGCATTTTGGATGACATGGGGGTGAGTAAATTATCAGCAAAAGTTTTTTTAAAAGTGAACTAATCCTTTAAACTTTACCTCATCAAGTAAACAATAGTTTGATCCAACTAATGCAATTAAAATCTTAATTGCGCCATTGCTATGTTCATCACGGCACCGAATAATATCCAATATGTCCGTTGAAATGTGTTTTGCATTTGATGCAAGTAGTTTAAAACAGTGGCCACTAACATGCGAGTATGTGAGTTCATAATTTGTGCTGTGGGGTAGGGCTGTGCGGTAGGGCTGTGCAATTAATTAAATTTCGATTTCTGCTCCCAACGATCACCAAAATAATACAATCGAGTAAAAACGATTATTTTGCCATGTTCTGTTTTGCAAGAACACTCTTATTTTGTCTTGTGTTCTGAATGACAGGCGCACATCCCCCCCACCCGAAGCCATAAACTCCCTCAGCCTATACAGTCAGGGAGGCGAGTCGTGTGCATATAATCCGCTGGAATTTAAAAACTCAGCGCGAGTCAAGTTGGCAGAAGGAGGGGAGCCACAGCAGTGTTGGGTGAGCAAAAAAGGCAAAACCAACTCCGTTGTCTGGGAACAGTTTGGCTTCGAGGACTCCGATGACGAGCAGAAACACGCTACGTGCAAGATATGCTACATTGTAGTGGCTGCAACGCAAGGGAACACTGCAAATTCGTTTAACCACTTGAAAAATTAATAACAATCTAATAAAGAAACTTGTTTTCAAGAGATTGTGGAAGATTTATTTGTGGTTATAATTTTTACTTGAATACTTTTATACTTTGATTTGAATATCTGTTATGTTATTTATTTTAATAGTTCAAAAAGTACAATAAATGTTCAAATTTCGATTTTTTAAGAATTGTTGAAAGGTGTCTTTTTAATAAATGCAACACGTTCCCAAAGTCATGTGAAATAATCGTGTTACATAATCATGATTTCAATACTGACCAAAATAATCGTGATTATGATTTCCTCCATAATCGAGCAGCCCTACTGTGGGGTATGCAAATAATGGCGGTAGAAATAACCACACTTCTGAGCGAATAATCAGAATAACGAAAATTGCATGTAAATAGGACTGCAGAGGTTTGCTCGTGTCATTACTCAGGTTTTACTCTGATTATTGGAAAAGATTGCATTATTGGTGCACATATAGAATAGTTTGTAAGAATGTGAATATAAAGACAACTAGGCTGTAAAAGTAGATATTGAGTAAATGAGTTTTCCTGTTCATCATGATGATGTTAAATGTCCCCGGCAACCTCTGTAGTCCCATTTAGCCACTTATTAGCAACTGCCTTTTTCAAGACATGTAAAAACTTTTTTAAAAATCACAGGTGGTGTATTACTGATGCATTTTGACATATAATAAAATATCTTGAGCTTGTGTTAACCACAGACCTTATTTCAAACATTTAACCAAAAACGCATTGACTTTAGGACGATGGAACCAGAAGTAAAAAAACTTTTTTCCCATTTTCCGAACTCATTCCTGCAGCACGCCATTGTTCAAAGTTAAAGCAATATTGTTTCACGATGTTTATTTTTCAACATCCCTCTCTAACCTTTCTCTCTGTTGGGAGGTGCAGACCCTTGTCCACATCCCTCGTCCCTATGAGAGTCAGAGTCTTGCTTGTTCTGGTTTAGATGTAAAAGCAAAACCTTCTGTACAGCTGGCAGGAAGTCCTGCATCCCACTGGAATTAGTGTTCCCATGTGGCTGGGAGTCCTGGATGGGTCCCTCATCTGTAGGTACAACAGAAATAGGGTATTTCATAAATATCAAGCTTTAGAAGCATCTATTAATGGAAACAAACTTTTTAAAGCTTAATGAAGACCTACCCCCTTGGGCCAGAGACTGACTGCTAAACAAATTCTTGAAGAACTCGGAGGGCATCTGGCCCATGTTTGGGAAAGGCATTTTCATTTGCATGTCAGGCACAGGTTGAAATGGAGCCCCCTGGTGATTCAATGGAGGATGGTTCATGTGCTGCATGTTGACGTGGAAAGGAGGAGGCGGGCCTGGAGGTGGCATTGGAGAGCACTGACCAAAGCCTTGGGGTGGAGGTTGGCCTGGAGGACTTTGGGGCATTCCTGGACCTGTGAATGGTAGGGGAGGGCTCCTTATGGAGCCCGGAGGAGGGGGATGGGAAGGATTGGGTGGAGAAGACATCATATTCCCAGCCTGCATATCCTCAGGGCTACTTCCAAACTGTGGACCACCTTGAAACTGTCCAGCAGGGGGAGATGCACTGTTGTAGAAATTAGGCCTGCAATAAAAAACACAACAAAAAAAATAGCAAGATATAAAATCATAACTAGAGTGATGACCGTATTTCAGTGACGCTCATTTGGACTATTGGGAGGAAAACGTTTGTGAACTTTACTTTTCTACAATTTTGAATAAGTAATTCATCCATGCCAACAACGGTTCTCAATTTTAAAGTAGTTTGACTTGCAAAACGTAGATGGGAATCCACTATTCATTATGACTTTATGAAACAAGAATAGGAGTATGAAAAAGGATAAATGGCGATGCTAAAGCTGGTTATATCAGATGTAAACAGACCAATCTTGACCAAATATTCTGGATGTAAACACAGTTAAAAGGGGATTCAGTCAATAAATGCTAATAGTACCTTAGAGCAATCTTCTGTGCCAAGTCCACAGTAGGCTGAACTTTGATCTCAAACAGAGAGGGGATCTTCTTTCCTCCATCCGGGGGACTTCCAGGCCCAGGGGTGGGTAACAATCCCACTCCGGGAGGGGGTTTAGGCAGTGGGGCAATTCCTTGTTTTCTCAGATCTGCTAACTCCATCTCATCTTCATTGACAGTTTCCTCATCTGTATTTAGGATCTAAAATATGCAACATCAATCAGGTTTCCATTGCATGCTTTATTTGTTGAATTTGACTAAATATTTCTAAGAGTTGCAAATATTTAAAACTTAAAATTAGCTAGAAATGAGATTGATATTTCCATACCTGTGGCTGGTGGCATAAATTGCTTGGACTACTCTTACAAGTAAGTCATCTAATTGTTCTCTGTTAGTTACATAAAAAAGTAAATTGGTCTAATTTGAATCTGAAAAGTAAGACTTATTACCCCCTTGTTGGTCAGACTAGTTCCTAAGACACAGTGTTAACATATTGGCTGTTTATAAAGTGGTCCACTGGACTGCATATAAAGTGCTAAAAAAACATAATTTTGAGTCTGGAACTGGACAGTTGCTGAGAACACCATTGAATAGCTGAGCAAGGCACATTATCCCAGGTTACTTAAAATGATCAGGAATCAGTGCATTTTAAATATGCATAAAGTGCATGTATTTGTAGGGAAACTGAATGTTAAGTGACAAGTTAGCCCATACCTTGTCCAAAAGTTCCTTGGTAACATCGGTTAAAGGCTCATGGGAAAACTTGCAGTTATCTCCTTGATAACACTTTGCTCCGGTGTGAAAGAACTTGCAAGGATACTCACATACACTTTAGGGTCAAGGTCCAAAACAAGGAAAAAATAAAGCTGCAAGCATAAATTAAAGGGCCAAGCACAAAGAAGTCACGATAAGTCATGCCAGCATCAGAGCAACTGTAACAATGATTAAGACATATTAAGATGATTTTAGGCAAAATGGCTGAAAAAAAAAGTCACTAGTATATGATGTAAAGGTGGGACTTTGACCAAATTGATGTGGTGTGGTCAGAGTAAGGTCATAATGACACATGCAAAGTTTGGTGTCAATATGCCAAAGCATTGCAGAGACACAGACTCAGAGTCGTTTTGGCATCATGCCATCAAATTTGTCTCTGCGGTATACAAAAATGTTTTCGTCTATCGACACGAAATCCATATTTTTTTTGCCAACAGGGTCTGAAGATGATTTGAGTCGAATTTTGTGAAAATCGGACAGATGGTCTAGGAGGAGTTCGAAAAAGTAGGTTTTTAAAGAAAATCAAAATGCCGGACAGGAAGTTCATCCGACTATGGCAACATTTGTATCTTTGTTCTCAGCATGACCCAAGAAATTTCATCACAATAGGGCTAATTTAATCGAAAACTATTAACATTTTTGGAAATTTCATTATAATTTTTCATCGAAACTTTTTGAGTACCTTCAGGGCATGGTGCCGATGACACTTACCGAGTTTCGCAACGATACAGCAATGTGTACGTAAAATATAGCATTTCACAACAAAATAAAAAATGGCCGACACCCTAAATGTAATATTTGGCCAAACCGTTCATAAGTTATAAGCAAAAATGGAAATTTTTCATATCTCCCGACCACTAGGTGGCTCTGTGTCGAAACTGTGCAGGTACATTTAGGTCATGGTTGTCATTACACACACCAAGTTTGGTCAGAATACGCTAAAGCGTTGCGGAGATATATGATGCGTTCAAGTCATCTCGTATAGATCGTATTTACGAGTTGAACGCACTTGAACGCCACCACAATGTCGTAAATACCAGTGGGGAGCTCGGGATTTTCTCTAAGCCCCGATCTTTCCGAGTTGTGGGCGTGTCACTGAGAAACATGGCGGAATACCACAATACTTAAATATTAGGCAGTGATATTGTCAAGGTTTTCTATTTACAGCGCAGTTAAGCTAATTGCTTGCACAGAATATGATGGCATTATAATATAACAATGCAACATGTAACGATAAAGTTGGCAGTGTCTTCATAAATTAATTAAAAACATTAAAAAACAGAGTACATCTGATGCCAATGTATTTGTTCTTCATTTTCTAGAACAAGAGTTTAAGAACCTTACTGTATTTTTGTGTAATTAATTAAGAGAAAGTACTCCACCATCTTACTCCGACAAAAGTGACTTGAACGCGCGTGCCTGCTGTCGTAAACACGACTTCCCACCTCGTACGTACGAACTTCCCAACTTAAATTCCATAACTTTTTGTCACCATGGTCTGAAGATGATCTGGTGTAATTTTGTTTCTAGCCCTCACGGTTCAAAAGTTATTAGTATAAACGTAAGTGAAACTTTGGACAGTTAGTGGCGCTAAAGGGATTGAGTTAAGAAACTACAAAATTGTTGTGGTTAATGTTCAGACTGTCCTCTATCTGTGTGCCAAATTTCATAACTTTCCCACAAGCGGGTCTATGGGCGTGAAAGAAGAAGCAGCAGAAGAAAAAGAAGAACACTAACGATTAAAATAACACGAGAAAACAGTCATCTGAAGATTATCTCTTTTACAGTTAATCTGTAAAAAAAACTCATCCAATAAATGTTTTGAAAGGATATTGTGCATGTATATACAGATATCTCCTTTGGTACAGTATCCCTGGACATAAAATTTGCACAGTTCCTTTTTCTTCTCTGGAACAACATTATCATGTTCAAACTTGCACTGGTCCCCCTGTAAGCAATATGAATAAAGGATCTTAAAGCATGTACAAATTTTTAACAAATATGAATTAAACGAAATGTTTATCCATGTGATGTATTTGTATTATAGTTTTGTAATAGCTTACTTTGATGCATCGACCCTCAAGAAAATATTTACAAATGTGCCTCCCATTGTGTTCAACCGTATGTTGATTAATGAATTCCTGGCTCATGATTGGACGCTTCTTCTGGAAACTGGGCGGACCTTTAGATTCCTGCTACAAGATACATGACAACATATAAAAAGAGTGCTCTGAGATCCTAATGGTGACGATCCGATCAAAAAAGAGAAATTCTCACCATGTCTCCTCCACCCTGCTCTCCTCCTCGACCACGGCCTCGGCCCCAGTTCTTGCCCTTTTGTTTCTTATTTTTGTTGGGCATTCCTCGCCCCCTGCCAAGGGCACCACGACCTCTACCACGTTGCCCACCAACTATATAACAAGTAAAAGAAAAAGACAAGAGATAACCAGACAGAAGATTGTGGGTCTTCAAATGAATTTCCATGCAGACCTCTATAATACTTTGAAGTAAACAAACATACACTGCTGTTGTTGTCCCTTCATAATTGGTCTCTTGGCCTGGTCCCTAGGTGGCCCTCCTCTGCCACGACCAGATGACTCCTTAGCATGTTTGTATTTAGACAACTCCTCAGAGAAATCATCCTCGTCATCATAGTCATACTTTTCTTCACTGTAGTCACTGTATTTGTCCAGATCGCTGTTCTTGTGCTGCATTGATCTCGGTGGTTTTACAGGTTCATTTTCCCGCTAGCATCATAGGTAGAAAGAGAAATTAATTGAGCGGGATGATAATGAAATTTGAAATTCAGTACCGAAAAATCTGAACTCACCTGAGCCAACTCGCAGTCATGGTCACGATATGTCCCTTTGCTCTTCTTGCTCTTAGGTCTTTCTTGACGCTCATGCTCAGAGTCATAGCTGTCCGAGCTGGAGCCACTGGATGGAGAGTGATGCTGAAATTGGAAAACATTGGGGAAAAAAGCGTAAAAACAAACGAGTTACACAAAAAAAAAAAAAAAAAGCAATGATAGATTACCTTTTGTCGGTCTCGTCTCCTCCTCTTCGACCGTCGCTTTTCTTTAATTTTCCTGTGTCGCTTTCGTGAATGCCGGTGTGACTTCTCGTCTTTTACCTTCTCTTTGTCTTTCTCGGCCCCTTCAGACTCTTCCTTAGTTTCCTTTACTTCTTCTATGCTTATGCCTTCATCATCTATTTCTCCATCCTCCAATTCACCATCCTCCCTGTAAGAAAATGTTTAAGCATTTCATTAACAAAAACGATCAAGCCAGGAAAAGACTATAAAATCAGTTAAATAAATACATATTCTAGGCAAAACAGTGAGTAGAATCCATTGTTTCCATAAAAACACAACTATTAATGTGCATACTCAGTTAGGAGTTTGTTATAAAGTATTAAAGAATAATGCCAAAAACTATCCACCCACAATGCTCTAGCAACCTCAAGAACATCCTAGAAACTGCATAGCAATGCACTGGCAAACACCCACAAGTATAGTGTCGTTCAGTTTTGCTTGGGCAAACAACACTCGTTTTCTTCAGTACATATAAAATTCTTGTAAATCTAAAAGTAAAAATAATTTAAAAGAATATAACACACAAAATAAGCTTCTATTCTAAAGATCATAGGCTGGATACGAACAATACAGTTTCCTTTGGTTTTCATTATAATTGTATTTTTTATAAAGTTGTCTTTTTTTTGGATATGTTTAAGATTAAATAAATCTTTTGTGTAATTCCAGAGTCACATAATCCTGGGACATACATTTTCTACTTAAATGGGCAATGCAACATCAATGGAAAACTCTTTTTGGATTAAAACCAAAATGAGTGAATGTTTGTTTAGCCAGTTGTCAAATTCCCAACAGTTTCTCAGAGTTAAAGTCTGGAGCGAGAACAAGGACACGATAACACTGAGGCTCTGAAGGTCTCTCAGTTTTAGACAAAGTAGGCCATGACACTGTCGAAAGAAACCAAGATCTATTGGATTTTTACACGTCTGGGTATTACAGCTAAATAAATGGCCTTTACATACAGTGACTTAGCATTGAACATGCAAAAAATGGCCCTTAGTGTGTTTAAAAACCCAACGAGAAAATGTTTCTACACGTTTGCAAACAGGAGGATGTGGTCACTATGTACGTGAGATTAGTGGTTTGATGAAAAACTTGGGTGTCTTCTGTGCTGAACTTGGAGGGCAAAAACAAGGGGAAATGGAAGCAAAACTCAATGATTACAATATTTAAAACACATTACACTTCTTCAATATTAAACATATGACCTAAATGGCTAAATTTAGATGCATGTAATGCACACGCAGAGGTGCTACACTGCTGTAAAAAGCTATCTGAAAAACAGCTGGCATGGTTTTGGAATTGAAATGTTTTTGCGTGTGGATTCTGTCAAGGCCAAGCCGGCAATCTCTTTATTCAATAATGCATGCTATATCACTGTTGGGTTGGCCATATTTGCAACTGAAGTGCAATTATATTAATGGGATATAAATGCATCTGAATCAGTGTCAGAAATTATTCAGGAATCAGGACAAAAAAGCTTCCAAAATGCCGTAGATAAGTAGGGAGGGGGGGGAATGTTCTGTTACATGACTTAATATTTATTTTATTCTAGGCCCATCTAGGTATGAGTTCAAAAACATGACCATTTCAATAAATTGATTAACATCAATTATGGCAATGAAATTTGACAAAAATGGGCAACACAGTGTTATAAAAATTGTGATGAATCATGCACAATAACTCCAGGAATGCATGAAAGAAAATAAACTTTGGATAATTCCAGAGTTGCATAAACTATCCTCTTAAATGCTCATTGCAACATTAATGGAGAAGCAAACTCTTGTTGTATTAAAACCAATAGGGATGTGAATGTTTGTTTCAATGAACTGATTCAACAATTTCTAACAATGACATTTGACAAATATGGACAACACGCAGTGTGATGTTATAAACAGTGTGATGATGAATGGTGCTCAATAAAACCATGAATGCATTAAAGAAAATAAATTGGGCCAGTTTTCATGTCAAGTTAACAATGGGCAGATAAACTTATGTCAGACTCTGTCAACCTGACCTGGTTGACAATTACAACAGCTCAACGCATGGCTTACACAGCCACAACAGTCCTGCCACGAATCCCTACCAGACATGTTTTCCTTTCCCAGGTGGGCGGGGCGATGGTACGTGAGTGGGCGGGGCACAATAGCCATTTACATATTCAACAGCTTTGAAACGACTTATTAACATTACTGTAATAATAACCAGCTACAGCCTTCTACAAAACCCCAAATGTCCTTCAAAATCAGCTAGATAAGAGCGCAAACCAAGTGGGGGAAAACAATGAAAAATGACAAAGATGAGAAGTGTCACTTGCTTTCCTCTGTAACAGAAATTAAAATGAAAGTGCATGCAGGAAAATATGACCACTAAGTGAACTGGGGGAAAGGCCTGTCCAAAAACGAAAACGAAGACTTGACGTTGAAAAAAAAACAAGATAGGTGCCAAAAGATTCACATTCACACACATGAACCTGCACAGTGAAGCATTTGCAGATAAGAACATGTTTACTCGACCTTTCTTCCCCTGTCAGCTCACAGTCTGTCATGTTTTTGTCAAGTACGGGGCTTGGGGGACTGGAGAAGAGGCTCACAAAAGCCATGATGGTTGGAAACGCAACTGGCCCTTCTCCGCAACCAGAGTTAGGAGCATCAGTCACTCGTTGGCTGAAGGTTTTGATATACTGACAGTCTGGAGAAAAACTCACGGTTTACACGTCTCAACAACACATGAGACGCTTAACAGACATTATATCCGGTCTCATGTTTAACGCTGTCTCAACACAGCTTTGATACCCTCAGCTTTGTTTATGTCCCCGGCGGTTTCACAGATGACCTGGTGCGAGACTGCAGACGCAGAATATAGTGTTTATAATCGAAGGTTTTTTCGGGATCTTCCACAGTCATGGCGGCCGCAACACTTTCGTGAAAATGGCTGCAAGGATCTTGCAGCAGCTGGTGGTCCCGCCCAGTTTGTGTTCGGAGCCAATCACTGGCCTTTCCGCCGTTGAGAATCTGCATTGTCTGGCTCTACTATTGGTTGGAGCACTGGCGCCTAAGTGCGAGAGCAATTTTCTGTTGATCTATTGGTTGTGGGAGATGCCAATCATTTTGCTCACAAGTTAGTATGACGCACTATTTATATTCTGATGTTTATGACTTTGTTAACGGTTCTGTTTTTATCATTTTATTTAATTAACAATTAATTTTCTAAAGCATTTCAATATACTTAGCCCCTGTACATGTTTTGGAATTTAATAAACAAGAAAACAAATAAATACACACATACATAGCCTACATTTAAAGACTATTTAATACGACTGCGACTGTATGAGGTGCAAATCATAAGATCTGAGTTAAAAAGGCTTAGCAAAAACATGACAAAGGCTAAAAAGATTTAAGGAATAACTCGCATTCCTATAGCAATACCAAAGTACTATATGCAGCATTTGCCATAACCTGTCTGTTGTGTGCAAATGAATGACTGCAAATGAGGCTAATTCCAATATTGTGAAGTAGCATGTTAGACGATGCAAAATAAACTAGTTATAGCAACAATAAAGTTCCACAACATTTATAAACATTTTAAAAAAGGGATCAAAAATCTCAAGCATCACAACTTAGTAGCAAATCTCTTGCATAAACTTTTATTGCCTATAGATACAGAAATTATGCGTATACTATGCTTGTGATTCAATTGTATAGAATTATTATGCATGTATGAAAATAAGGCATCTCTTCTGTCGCCAAAATAATAATAAATAGGTCTATTTGGTTTGGAGTCACACTCGCTTTATATATTTTATGTTTCCTGAGACATATTCATTAAATTCAAAGATAAAGATGCTTCTGATCTGTCACTTGTGTCCTCAGGTGGATTTGTCGTGTGTCGCCTTTTCCATATCAGTAAAGTTGGGAACACCGGCAATGAAAATCCGAGAAAAAAAGCAGCCATTGCCCAAAGTACATGTTCTGTGATTTGTGATTTCTCCTCTGAAACAAAGAGACAGAGCAAGTCATTTGAGTTTTCACATAATTTATCACAATGCTCATATGAATTATTTATGCCCTTCTGAATCACTTACCATAGGTTTTTCTCAATATCCCATCCAGGCTGAAGTGTTCAGTCTCACAGGTAACACCGTGAGCACTCATTTTAATAAGGCTAAGATAGGAGGTCATCTGAAATGTGCCATCTCTGTGCGGGAGTATTCCAGTACTTGATACACCAAAATAGACCGGCCTTCCTTTTTGGGTCCAACGCACTCGGATGACATTCGGATAGAAGCCACGCACAACACATTTAAGATATTTCTGATCCTGTTCTCCTCCAGCAGATAAAAGCACTGCTGGTTTTGCTACATTGTAGGGGGGAAAAAAAACAAGTAACACTTTACACAAAATTATTAAATTGTCAAGATATATATATATGTATAGTCTCATCAGATGCCTGTGAAAAACCTTAAAAAACACTATAGCACTGTGTTGTTAAACAAATAACTTTAAAATAACTTTATTAGAAATCTGGCAATGAGGGTTGCTTTGTTTAAATTTACCTGCCCTGGATAGAGAATTGTTGGACTTTAAGAAGACAGTTTTCACAGCAGAGCACACCATCTTTAGTCTTTCTTCTTTCTTCTTAATGTATTCCATATGTTTTCTCTCTTCTTCTAACATTTTACCAGGTTCACTGGTAGCAACCACAGCTTTCTTCACAAAATCCACATGCATGATGTCTTTACCATCATACCCATAGCTCCATGTATGGTCTACTTGTCCTTGACTGTCGAATGCACACTCAATGAACTGCTGGTATGCATGTTCTTCTAAAGGAAAACAATAACATCAAACTCTTTTTTTATTGTCAATTATTTCAAATGAAAATATACACAGAACATTGATACTGTTCATTCTCAGGAAGCGGTATAATGGTTCTAATATAAGGGTTTAATCTTTCTGACATCATATTTGGAGGAATTACATTTTTGGACCAAGATTATGCTGCTAAAACCTACTGGCAGATATAAGCATCGTCAGATTGACATACGTGTATTTAGTCTTGTTTAATGCATTGCACATGAATCCAAATTCAACATCCAAATAAAGTTTCCTCCAGTATTTTATTTTCCCACAGTGCAAACGACCCATTGACAGATGCTACAAGAGCAAGTAAATTGTGCTTTATTTACATACACATCAAAAATATATTGGCAAAGGATATAGCTATAACTCTAAGGAAAGTCCTACCTGCACCAAGGATGATTTCATGAAAAGCCACAATGAGGAGAAAAGCCAGCATTTTGCTCTGACACAGTCCACGTCTACATGTACAATGTGAAAGCGAAACACCAAATTCTGTAAAATGATATTATAGCCTACAGGGAGTAGCCTACAAAAGTGAAAGTCACCTTGAAAACAGAACAACAGCAACGAATTCTTGATGTTTAGATCTTTAAAGACGAGTCTTTAAATCAGACATGGAAATATTAACTGTCCGAGCATCTGTGTTAACTCTTCTGCTGTATCCACAGATCATCACAATGTGGACAGGTAACGTTAAATGATTCAAAACAGTTTATATTACTTTTTACACTCAGACTATGCGATCTTTGTATTCATATTAGTTTAATACGTTTAAAAAAGATATTTGTGTAGGTCCGGTTACAGTTGCTCAGAAGTGAATTCTTCCTTCATCGGAATTATCGTAAATACGAGTTCTTAGTTATAAACTGGACATGAACACCCTCTCAAGTCGCATCACTGGGAACTACAGGGATCATTTTGATACCCGCGGGTTCCTGAGATGGGAGGGACACAAACTTTACACACAACGATAGTTGCTGTGACTGCTATTCTTTATTGTTTTGTTTTTTTTCAGAACCGCTACAACGCCTTGTCTTTCTTGTTCTGAGAGAGAGAGAGAGAGAGAGAGAGAGAGAGAGAGAGAGAGAGAGAGATACAAACTCCAGTCACACTCCTTGACGTAACAGTAGTGCATTTATATGTGAATAATCATTTGAAGCGTATTGTGTAGCCTATATTATACTCAGCGAAAATAGCCTGTATTTGACCGAAATTCCACAATTGTCAGAAAGCTGACTGTAACAAGGCAGTCCTTCTCGACCCGCTCTGAGAGGGATTCGAACCGGAGTCTCCAGCACTGGAGGCGGGCGAGTTAACAAGGCTCTAAAGACCGCAGACACACGATACAAAATGTAACCGGCCTGGGGTGCGTTTCCCAAAAGCATCGTTGGCCAACTATGATCGCAATTTCCATTGAACTCTATTAGTAACGACGGAACTTGCGACCATAGTTGGCTTTAGGAAACGCACCCCTGAACGGGATTCTAACCATGGTCTCAGGTGGGCGCACTAAAAAGAGTGCTAAAGCCCACAGCTCAGGGGCGTAGCAACCGGGGGGGACGGGGGGGACACGTCCCCCCCACTTTTATAATGGCTGCTACGCCCCTGCCACAGCTCCTAACATGCCTCTTGAGCCCAGGGGAGAGAGGTTTACTCATAGACTGTAAAAAATAGGGTTTACTACGTCCGGCGTTATGACTATTTGAGAGTGAGGAGTCACGTGCCGATTTGGGCGGGGTCTGAGCCCATAGACATAATAAATATTTATTATGTCTATGTCTGAGCCGGTCGGCCATGATGGTAGGAGACGCTATCGGTTGCTAGGGGCAACGCCTTCAGAACTTCACAGAGGCGCGACTAAACATTCCAGAAATAGCGAAAGAGAGACAGCGCAGCTTAGTATTTGTTTACATTTTACCGATACGCCGCAGTTTCTTTGGAAGATATGGAGAAGGAAGAGAAATGAAAGGGGTTTTATCGGGAGAGACTAAATAACAATGCTAGCCAGCTTAGAGAAACTGCAACAGCGAGCAAAGCCTGCTTTCAAAAGCAACACATTTCAGCACAGTTCGCCTTTTATTTAACACAAACGAACGAAATGAATACTCTGTTATTCAACTAGAGTTGTTTCATTTGTTATAGATATACAGGGTTCTCAAGTCTCACGCATTGGCCGTGAGACACACGCAATTCAACCAGTTCACACGCTCACACGCCACACCGTGTATATCTCACGCTGAAAAGGCAATGCCAACCAAGTTGTCCTGCAAGCTTTATAACGTTGTATACGAGGCGCATGCACACAAAGATAAGTTTCCTGCCGCCAGCGCGTCCGCATCTCGGCCAGATTGCGTTCGTTACTAGGCAACTTATAGACGCGCGAAGTCCGCGAACCAACTTTGGAGAAAGTAAGTTGGAAGAAAGCTCGCCTAACATTTTTAGACTAGAACGTTTAATATATAGCCCATCGTATACATTATTGATGCAGTCAAAAACTCTACAACTGCTTTGCAACCAGGCCAAAAGCTTTGGCTCAGTTTGGCTAAGGAAATGTTATTGGGTATGGGAAGGAATGAAGATGTATTTCTTCAGTTTATTTTAAATTCTATATTATACTGTATTAATAGTATTTCTAGTTACATTAAGGCTAAAGCAGAGTGCTTTTGGTAATATTGTATATCCTGTCAAAACATACATTAGCCTAATCATTGCCATTGCATTTGTATTTTTCAAAGATGTCAGGGAAAAATGCAAAAATATTTGTTTTTCCAAACATTTTGGAGCAATTTGTTATATATTTGTAGCCTAATTTTGAAATATAACATTAAAGAGTAGGCCTATATTTGATGTGATGAATTGCTCTGTCATTTATCAGATTTACCAATTGTTATAATTTCAATTTTTGCTGGTTAATTATGAACAATGGGTAAAATTGGGGGCGGGGCTCCATTTAGGCCCCTCCCCTAACCGCATGTGATCTCACTCCAAGCTTTTGATAAAACTTGAGAACCCTTAGACGGTGGGCCGAGGGGGGATTTCGTGTTTTCAGACGATCTCTGGGGATGGATAACCCAGTTTTTTATATATAACCACTACACTTTTCAACAAAGCAAATAAAAATTGTTGCCACTCACATACTTTGCACATTACTATAATATCGGTAACTTTGTCCAGGTTATTTTCCCGGCGAATAGAGCAGGCGGCTACGTGTTGGGTCCGACATGCGTGACGTATTTGTTGCCTTCATCCAATAGCGTGCGTGGGAAAGTGTCGGTGTTGGTGACGCGTTTGTCAACACACGGGCGCGCTGATATGAAGTTGCTGTCTGACCTACAGTCTATGCTCTGTGCACATCTTTTCGAGAAGTGATTTTAGCCCAGGAAAGATTGAACTTGTTAACTAATTTTGCCCACTTATGCTACGTATTCAGTTTGACACAAAATGTGAATGTAGAGGTAACGTTATGCATTGTCACTGTTTTTATTTTATGTAACCATCTTTTGTCATACGATGTCCTGTCATTTCGTTGTAATCTTTAATAAATATACCGTTCTGATTTCACACATTTAATCCATGGTATTGCTTGGAAACACAACATCATGAAAACCATAGACATCTACAGCAGGATACAACGTTAAAATAGCCTAAATATAAAGTTATGAAACTTTACTTTGCCCTCAGCCAAAACGATTTGCCAAGGAACAAATTATAGATTAATGAGACCAAAGATTACCTGTTAGATATACACAAGTCGAATTATATATCATGTTTAACCACTAGACATCAGAGCCAGCGGCAAACGTCAGAAGCACTATAGCCGAGGTAAGGCTGTTCCAGGTGGGGTACATGAGCGCCCGGATCTCTCACTCCAAAAACGTCAGATAAAATTTTTAAATAGGCTCTATCTTTACGAATAAACCATAGATTTGAGCTTTAGACAACTACATTGTCGACTGAAAAACTATTAAAACTACATTTCGTGACACAATAACAGTAGTATTTTGAAATTTCTAATTATATAATGGCCAAATACAACCAGAAACAAATTTTCAGTCTTGCTTGTGAAAAGTAATTGCTCGAGACCTGTTTTCAATTGTGTGGCGATTTGTACAGCCCCAAGCAGCACACGAAACACATTTTTCTCAATTCCCGGTATGAAATCTATGGGAAAGTTGCCCTCCGCAATATGGCCGCACCGTTGACGTACGCTCCAGCGGGCAATTGGGCGTCTATGTATTGATTATGTCTATGATAAAAACGCACATTTCTCTTTTTCCCGCACATTTTTACTATGGATGAAATCGCAAAAACATGAAGTGCTGCATGCATATATGTGAGGGAAATAGACCCACCATTCCCTTCACAGACATAAGTTGGGAGAAATTTATTAAATCTGTGTTTCTGTGGAAAGACCTTGAATGCAGAGAAAGTATTATAGCAGAAGAGGCAGTACAGGCATACAAATTACAAAGCCAGGAACCTACAAACCAGTTAGTCAAACCAGCTAACATTGGCTACCACAGGGAGTGCTACAGCCATTTCACAAATATCACGAAGATAGAACGAGCACAAAGGAGAAGAGAGAAGGCAGTATTAGTTGAAGAAACTGCAAATGAAGGTTGGTATTATATTGTACAGACAGGAGGTGCAGTAAAAGACATACAGTGCAGTATTATATTGTATAGACAGGTGGCGCAGTATATTACAGTGCAGTATTATATTGTATAGATAGGTGGCGCAGTATAAGACATTCGGTACAGTAGTATACATTTAAGAAAGTAGTATGTTTTACAGTAATATTAATTAAATATAAATGTGCAATGTATTAGCAGTAGCCTTATAAGAGTGTAATAGATATGGATTTCCAGTACGATCAAACACATACAGTTATGTGCAGTGTAATAGCAGTAACAGTATAATAGTACAAATAATATAAATATATTACTGTTAATACACTGTATATAATAAAAACATCCTGCAAAAATGTACCCTTCCAATTATGGCATTATTAACATCAACAAGGCCAGACACCTGAACGCTGTGAAACTGGTTTATTAACCATGTTAAGGGAACAGGTGAAACCAATATATGAAGGATGAGTTTTCCCCTGCCTAAAGTTTCAAACCATTTCTTAATTCAGTGATGTGGGGAAGGGTGGTAGGGGATTTCTACGGAGTGGACTGGATGACACTTCCGCCAGCTCCAGAGGCCATTCTGGAACTTGTGCACTGCTCATGTAAAAAAACAAATTGTGTTAAGGGTAGATGCACATGTAAACTGCATGAGCTGCCATGTACAAACCTCTGTCAGTGTGTAAACTGTGACAATAAGTCACTTGAAGATGACTAGGGCACATGTGGTTATGTAAATGCACATGTGGGGAGGGGTGTGTGTGTGTGTGTTGGCTACTCCAGCAGAAGTAAATCTGTACGATGTTTATGTACATTATAACTCTGCTCTGTTTGATAGCATATGTTCTTTGATAGTCTAATCTTATTTCTATTACATGCCGTTCTTCTTGAGCTCTTAGCTCTCTGGTTATAATATTGGCTGCTTGCTGACCCTTTAATGTTATGTCAGATATAACTGATAATTAAATATGTTTTATATATCAAGAGGTTCATGTTTACCTTGAGTTTTTGGCGAACGTTTGCAAAACAGTCTGAGGTAATTATCCGGGGACATACAGTGGAGCTGTAGCCTATGTGAGTTGGACGAAGTGTTACCGTTAGAATTAAGTACTTAAAACTTTACACCAAATCAAATATGTAATCGCATGATGCTAGCTACTGCTAGTTAGCCAGCTGAAACTACCCTACTTAAAAAGACACTAACGAGACGCTTACATCCATTTTAATTCCAAAATCTAAACCAAGCTAATCTCATGCATACGATCGCAAGAGATCGTATGCAGGAGATTAGCTTGGTTTAGATTTTGGAATTAAAATGAAGGATGCATTAATCTACTAGTAATGTTGTAGTTTTGGTTCAGAGCTGTGACCTAACGTTAGACATGCTAGCTACTATGTCAGTTAGCCAGCTGAAACTACCCTACTTAAAACGACACTAACGAGACGCTTACATACGTTTGAACAACACAGTGTACAAAACAAACATTTGTCATAGATATCATATTCTAATTAAATGAATACTTACAATCACAAAAACAATGTCCTTGGCGATTGTCACTGTGCTGCCGCCGCAGATGCTGTTCGTGTCTGACAGCTGAATCATCCGCGTAACAACTGTTCTAAATAAGCTACATCTGATTGGTTAATAATAATCCTATGTCAGTATCTTGCCACGCTATTGGCTCGACTGATATAGTAGGCAACCGCGTTTGCCTGCATATTTACGGTCGTGCATTATGATTTCGGGGGAAAATGTGCAACAAATGGGAGTGGCAACACTTTTCATATCGTTGAGGATAAAACAACCGTCCCAACTTTACAAATTCAGGTTCTCCCTCCATGGGGATCATTCATTTCGAAAAGTAAAGCAGATACGGGGCCTCGGCCCACCGTCTACCTGTAGATATATCTGTACCGCGAAATGTTTTAAAAAGACACTTTTTTAAATGACGTACGATTCGCATTGACAGGGTAATGTCCGATCTGTTCGCTTAACGTTGCACGGCAGGTGCAAATGCACGTATCTGATTCATATCAGATTTATTTCCACATATGAATGAGGCCTGAAACATCAAGTGTGATTGAACTCTCGCAGTTTAACGTTACAGGTTTGGGGGTTTCTAAGTCTCGCACCCAGCCGCAACAGACTTGTTCAGCTTCTAATGACTTAAAGCTTCTGAACTCTTGCATTGTGTAGGCAGTAACGTAGTACTCTCGTAGTACGTTACACTCTCGTAGTAAAGTCACTGATACCATAAACAAACCAGGTAATTAACTATGTCCGCGTATGTGAAAGGTGGTAGTGCTTTAGGTCTTTCGTCCATTCTGTAGCAGGTCGTACAGGGTCCATGTTGATGTCAAGTAGTTTCTCTAAATAACGCTGCTTGGTGTTGTTATTTAGTCTCTATTTCTCTCGGTCTCACGGTCGAAGTAACCATGACAACGGATAGCGCATCCTACCAAGATGGCGAATCCTTCCCACAATGCAACGCAGAATGATACGCGTGACGTCACCTTCTCATTCGCGTGGTGACAGTGAATGTATGGATATGGTTGTCAATGAATGTAATGCTAAATATCATTTTGGCTTTAATACGATTTTCCCAATAATAGGCATGGTGTCAGTGGTGTCCTGTTCTTTCAGACACTTGAATGCGATGAACTCGTAATCACGACTTCAGAAGTGGGATGTAGGAAATTTCCGATGGCATGTGACGGAAGAATATTTACCCTCCTCCATCCCCAGCTCCTCCTCTCTCTCGTCCAGTCAGGACTTGGCCTTCCTCTTCGAATCAGACTGTCTTTTATCTTGATTTATGATGTTGCTACATTAAATTATTGTCATTAAGAACATGAATGATATCTGCAATACATTTAGGCTTGTTTTGTTTGTTTAACCTATATTGCTGCGCTCCCTGCTCTTCTTGCCCAGAACAGAACCATACCGCCAATCCAAACTGTATGCAACTTGTCAATCATCTTTGACGATAGTGGTCCTAACAGAAATGCATATTTATAAAAAAAAAAAAAAGCACGGACCAATTCCATATCATTCCTCTCTTTTTTTTAAGACTACCATACAGTAAATGTCCTGGCCTACACTCGCATGATGGGAAACGGGTCCATGGATCAGGCAGTTGTTGTTTTGGTGAATGACAGCGTATTTGCATACTTTGACCAAGAAAATAAAACGTTTGCCCTGCGTCCCAGTGCCAGCGCCGGATTTTCTGTTTTAGAGAAGCGGGACAGCATTTTTTGCCTTGGCGAAGTGACAAAGGGATTCTATCGACAAGCTGAATACCTGGAAAAACTCAAAGAGGAAACAAACTCATCAAAGCCACTTTTGGGTAAATTTAATGATCACCACTTAATAATTTGCTTCTGTTTTGCAATACGAGTTCATCTCTGTCACTATGTTGTTTGTCCACAGTACGCCCTTCAGTCAATGTGTATACTGAGTTTCCTGAAGAAGAAGGAAAAACAAATGTCCTTTACTGCTATGCCACGGGGTTTTACCCTGGTGACATTGAAATAAACTTTTTTCAAAATGGCCATAAGTCAATTGTGAAGGTAGAGACCTCTGACTTAATGTATGGCAAAGACTGGACCTTCAGAGTGTACAAGTACATGACTATCACCCCGCGGACTGGAGACGAGTACGCATGTGAAGTGAGACACAGTAGTATGACTGAACCCACAATGAAAGCGTGGAGTGAGTTCATTCACATGTGGTGAAATACAAATTGCATTAAAAAAAGTAATACATTGCCTTCAGTAATACACACCTTCTTCTCTTTCCTCAAGGGCCTGAGTTTTCAGCTGCACACACATCACATCTCTACTGGGCTTGTTCACTACCTCTCGGGACCCTGTTGGGCATCATGACATCTGTCCTGATTTTAAGAAGAACAAGGCCTTCTCAATTACAATGATGTTTTTGAAAAACTGTATGTTAATCTTATTACAGTAGATGAGCTCGGTAGAACTCATTGATTTAGGTAATCTATTCAAGGATCTTTAAATTATTTTTAGGCCTATTTCATGTTTAATTTGAATCTTTATTCTGTAAATCAGTGTTTGCATGTATTAGTGTCCTTTGGTCATTATAAAAAATAAAAAATAAAAATCTCTATTTGCTGTGCAAGACCCACTCTGAACATCCGGTGGCAGCAAAACCCCAAAAATCTGACATGTCTTTCAATAAATTCAACTTCTCTACCTTTAAAAATGTAGAAGATTTAAGAGACAAATGGCATCAGATACATATGTTTTATGTCTGTATCTGCACAGTATTACTGTTATAGTTAACATAGTGACATTTTGATGCATGGATGAATCCTGCGCTCACAGTGGAATCCACGTTTAGCGCATCGGTTCAAACGAATCATTTAAAAGAATCGATCCAAAAGAACAAATCGCGAATCAGACACCACGACTCCTCAGGCGCTCAGTGGAGTCTTCATGAGGAGAACAGGAGCATCTTTACTAACTTCTGCAACCGTTTATCAAACATTTCCTCTCAGGCTTGTTTCAATGACTATCAGACTGAGACTGCACAGTTTTGAACCGTAAAGACACTTGAGGATTAAAAACAACCGACACAAGAAGACAATTCTGCGGTTTTACATAGACTCGGATACAGGAGGATGAATTTATCATACACAGTTTTTCTCCTGCTAAACGTCTTATCGCTGTGCAACTGTAATGATGCAACGCAAGTAAGTATACTCGTATATTAAATTAATATTTAGATTCATATTTCTATTACACAATTAATTAATATTCTTTATGAATATAGCCTAATATAATGTAGCAAAAATGTTGGTAATGAAAGCAATCTCAATTAAAAACATTTGACAAGGCATATACAGTAGGCTACTTTATGTATGGGGTCCTGGTAAAAAGTGTCCCATTCAACCTGAATTCACCCCTACATTTATCTGAATGCACATTGCATGCTATTTTAGTGATCAAAAATAACAATGTTAATTTACATTTGGTCACTTAAATCACACTTAAAAATAAAAACAAAATATTAAGTAGGCTATCATCAGTGCTCGAATTCTGCAACAGTACCTTTACTTTCCTTTATCATTTTTTGCTCAATGTCTCTTGAAATTTTATTTTTAGTGGATCTATGAAGTCTATCTTCTCAAGTGAACCACAGGTGTAGTTCACATAATTTAATATAAAAATATAACAAACAATATAGCAAAATAATCTAGTGCAATGACATTCAGACATTTTAAGTGTGCCCAAAAAAGTTTTTGAAACCACCAGTACAGGAGACAAAGTTGTATCATTAAATATGTCAGATGCATTTTTGTGTTTGATCCAGATTAGCACGGTCTTTGTTTACCATGGCAAATGCTTAGTGAAATTTAAAGCCAATACATTTCCTCTCTCCTCTAACGAGTCTGTATTTAACTGCCATGAATAACAGTCAGGAGACCAGCCTTTTGGACAGAGGTCGCAGAGACATCTGCCTAACAGCTTTTTGTACAACTGCCATCAAGCCGCTGAAGAGAAAAAGAGAGTATTAGACGCTTACATGTGGTTCCTGGAGAGGACCTTAGAGGTTGCCCACTGACCGAACACACGGTCTAAATGCATCTGGGACAACATCGCTTCGATAAATCGTTGCTGGAGTAATATTTGTGTTTCTAAGGGGACTTGGTTGTGTGTTGGTGGCACACCGATGAGCTGCTGAACACTGGCCTGAGCTTTCATGTCATGCCCCACAGGAGTCCCCATGACATCACCCACAACATCTGGCCTTGATAATTCATGTGTGCCATTTTTCATTTCCATACAAAGCTAACGTTTAGTGGGAATGTTCCTTGCGATCGTTTTAGATGTCCAATATCTCCTCCATATGAGCTTGTGTTCTGTAATTTCGGGATAACTGCTTGCCATCAAATTGTAACCAGGTGCTCGGATGGTTTCTTAACTCGTGCACTTTTGTGCCTCAGGGTTGCATGGATAAGCACCGAGTGATGGGCATCCTGCGTCAAATGGAGAAGTTTCTTAAAGGACAGGAGATCCGATTCACCGAAGGGCTTCGGATTATGAAATCCAAGCTCACCAACCTTCAAAACTCAGTGTCCAAGTTCCCACAAGCAGACCAGTCCTCATGTAAGTAAACACATGGCATATCCACATATCTCATCATCTCTGTGGAATAATTCTTTTTACATGTAGGGTACAAAGGGGCTTAAAGGCACACCTTAAGAAAAAAGTGCTTTTCACTTCTCCCATATATGATCACAGAAAAAATATGCTTTTATTGAACACTGATGGAGCAATAGGTTTTGTATGAAAATAAATCATTAATGTAGTTTGTTTAAAAAATCGTATGAGGTCTTTTCCCCATAGACACGCTGGGTAAAACCAGCCTGGGGCAAAAGGAACAGAGTATTGATACAAATACTCTAAGTTCATACTTGTTCAAAACAATCACTTTAGCAAAGTTTGTACTATTTTCGGTTTATTTTGATAAATAAAAGAATTCATTTTTGTTCAAAAATTATTTAAAACTTGCTTTAATTACCTTGAACAAAACTGAAAATCATTAACAAGACCTTTGTCTTAAAATAGCCCTGTTGAACCCTATATATTCTGATTCCACGAGGAGCAGGTGTGTGTATGTGTGTGTGTGTGTGTGTGTGTATGATGTCATTTAGGCATCTGGAGTTGCTGGTCATAGTCCTCGACTTGAGGGCACCGTAAAACATACATCAAAGTTGTGTATGAAAGATGTAAACCTGCAGGCTGCTTCAGGATTTGAGCCCAGTGTTGTTACTGTTTTACAACTAAAACTAAAACTAAAAAATAAATAAAAAATACAACGTTCTCACGCGTCAAGCAGGTTCGGTTGAGCTTCTGTTTAATGTGAATTAAAGCCTAATTTAAATCTGTTCATCATATGAAGCGATCGTGTCCCTTCAGAAAATTTGGACTAAACGGCTAAATTCTTTATGGATTCGTTTTATGATCTCTTCATGAACTTTTTGATGCGTCAAAGTGGTAGTTGCGTAGCTTTCAATGGAGAGATAGAAATCTCTCAGATTTCATCAAAAACATCTTCTTTTGTGTTCCTAAGATTAATGAAAGTGTTACGGGTTTGGAACGACACGAGGGCGAGTAATTAATGACAGAACTTTCCTTTTTGGGTCAACTAACCCTTTAAATATGTTTTCTGGCTAAATCCTCGTGTTTAAACCAGTTCTTCTAATCAGGAAAATGAATGAGTTACACAGAAGGGTCTTTAGTCAAACATTTCCCCATGCAAATGTGTGTTTTGAACGAAAGAGCGTGTGTTAGTTGGCGATAAAAGTATCCAGTCAATAAAAAAATTTGTTTTTGGACAGTAATTCTGGCAAAGAGGATTTATTAATCCTAATAAACGAGTTGAAAGGCCGCAGAATTCCAACCAATCCAAGATCTCTCGAAATCTATGAGTATTTTATAAGCATGAAATGACTTCCTTCCTTCAAATGAGTGGTCTGGCTGGTTCTTCAGGTCTGGATTACTCTACGGATAATGTGAATGGGTCGGATGTGAGACTGTGTCATTTGGCTGACGCTGATGCACATTTCATGAACCGGGGTTGGCGACAGGCATGATCAAGAATTACTTTGGCGTTTGTAGCAGCCGGTGCTTGACAGGACAGAATGATGTAGATTCTGTGACAAACTACTGATCATCTTTTACATTTATGCGCTGATGTGACAGGATTGTGCATTTTTCAGACTTCTTAAAAAACAATCCCTTTTAAAAACAAGCTTACTGTTGCTTGGAATTTTTTTTTTATATCCCAGTGTCCTGTATTTATTCAACATTTAATTTTTTTTTAATAATAATCCAACATGCTTTAGTTGTTTCGTCTCACATATTACACGAGTTACTGAATTTACAGAAAATGCACAATGGTATTAACGTGGATTTTTTAAAAGTTTAAAACCAACAATATATTTTATTTCCATGTTGTGGCATATTTTGGAATGAAACAAAGTATTAAATTAAATATATTGTAGAGCAGGTTTGAGATCAGTGTTATTTTAGTTTCATTGATATAATATTAGTTTACTATTAGTTAATTATCATTGGCTTTGATGATTTAAAGTTGCAAGTTCAGAAGCAAAATATATCATTTTGATGTACAAAAGCAAACTCTTGTTCTTTTTTTGTGCATGAATTGTTCACAATAAAGGCCGACTTTTTTAAGTCAACTTTGATTTCATGTTCACTTCCAGAAGGCTTAAACAACAGACAAGCACCAGCTCTTGTTTTTCTGCATGGCCCATGTGGTATTGTTCACGTATTCGTAAGCTGTCTGTATGAAATGAGGCATTTCCCATGAATCTTTTCCCATGACGGTTCCCACATTCAGTAAGATGTGCCTGCCTTCAGGCAAAATATCTCAACATTTCAGCATGCGTGACTTCCGTCCCTCGTGTAACCCTTCTCTACTCTGACATTCCTCCTCTCTTTATGTCTCTTTCTCCTGTCTTTTCATCTCTAGCCCAGTTCTCATGCCCAGCTCTGGTGGCTCCGGCCCACGGCAGAAAGCTGGGCTCGAAGCACCTGGTGGGTCATGAGGTTCATTTCACGTGTTCTCAGGGTTATCGCTTGATGGGACCGGGGACACGCGTGTGCCAGGAGAACGGTACCTGGAGCGGAGCCGGTGTCGTCTGTAAAGGTGCGTCAAAAACATAATAACACTGTTAATCCTGGACCCTCAACACAAGTGAACATCTACTGGACTGTTTCAGCTCAATACAGACTGTCCTGTGCTTTTTATCTAATCAGAAATGTTTAGAGGAGGTCAATCTATCAATAGGGTAACAAATCAACAATTCCTAATTTTTTTTACTTTAAGCAATCAGGCATGTAAATGTACCGATCTCAAACCGTGACCCAAAACTAAGGTATGTACTGAACCGTGACTTCTGTGTACCGTTACACACTATATATATAAAGATAAAAAATTACGTATACGAATTTTATATGGTAATATATAAAATATTAATCTATTTTAGTCATATTAAACTACCCAGAGACATTGACCTGAAAAAGGTTGAAGACCCCTGCAACAAAAAATGTTTAAATGATTAGTCTATGTTTTAAAGTAGATTAGAAACTCAAAAATCAGATAAAGCAGCACGCATCATCATCACACATACCTCACACATTCTCTGCTATGTAACTATATCTGTGTTATTGAGCAGAATTCCTGGACTAAGACACACATTATATTGTGAGCTGGGTAATCTGAAATCCCGTTGAGAGTGACACTACTGAGATAGTGCCTGAATACCTGTGCTTGTGAAAGAAACTGACTGTGAACACCACAGCTAAAGCGAACACTACACACACAGGCACCGAGATAAGGAGTGTGTGAAGACAGAGAGGCATTCTTCGCCCCTGAGCTGCACTGAATGAAGCGCTCGTTAAAGAAGCATTAAGTGTCCCGAAACGCAGAAAAACACCTGTACTTGCATTCCTGCCCATGGTGCGTCTCAACGCCTTCATGCTTCGGCTTTAACTCAGCTGGCAGGGCTACTGTAAAAAGAGCCAGATTCATAGGTCAAGTTTCAGCTGCAAATAAACAACCACACAAAAGTCTGGACACACTTTACTGAACTTGTGTTTCCCGTAATCTTAAAAAACATTTGTGTAACAATCCCTGGTCGAAGAAGGCAGAATAAGTCTTTCCCAATAACAGCTAGATTTATTCAACACAGGAAAACAGCATGAAACAGTGTGCTACGCATAAACAATCCCAGACAATGAGGGATACAAACAGAGGAACTTAAATAGACAGATAATTAACTAAATGATCAGAAGCTGTGACAATTAATCCGTGTCCATAGAAACTAATGATTGGCGGGAAACTAAGACAAAGGAGAACGTGACTGAAAAAACAAACTAACAGAACCGTGACAGTTTGGTCTAAAGGATTCAGCTTGAACTTAATTTTGTATACAAACATTATAGTAACACTTCACAATAAAGTTATCTACATTAGTTAACGTGAATGAAACAGTTGTTTTTGTATTAAACAACGTTAACAAAGATGAATAAATACTGTGTGTGAATAAATTAGTGAATGCATTAACTAACATTAATGGGAGCTTATTGTAAAGTGTTACCAACATAATTTGTCTCTACATATTTCTTATAAACTTTTTGTGAGACAATTTAATTATTTTAATAACATTTTTAATGAATGCAGGAGGTGGTATGGGAACCCATTTCCACCTGAAAGTAAAAAAAACTTAAAGCTGCAGTCCGTAACTTTTTTGGGTTAAAAATTATCCACAATACATTTTTGAGCAAATACATAACCAGCCAGTGTTCAGAACTCTCTGCTTGCCGTAGCTCGATTCAAAGCGGTAAGCTTGTAATAATGTTTTTAATTCCAGTGGTACTGGTGGATTTCTGCGGGAGATTCAAGCATGTCTTTGCGTCATTACGTCACACACACATCTGTACACACACATCTGCACACACACATCTGCACACACACATCTGTACACACACACACATCTGTACACATAAAGAAGAGTCTCGGCTAGTAGGCTATGAGTGTGAGGATGCTGGAGGTGGAGATTTATAGCCTTTTCTCACAGCACTTGATATAATTAAACTTATTAATTTGATGGCGGATCCAGAAAGGTTCAAACGACAATCACCAGTGACAACTAGAGACTCACCCGCTGTAAAATGCAGAAGACTTCGGAGTGACTACAGAAGAAGAGACTGCAACCGGCCCATGCGAAAACAAGGATAATATCTGAAGGGCATTACATGTAGTCACGCAATGCTGATGCAGTGTTTCCTCTAGGATTTTTTCCAGCCGTGGTGGCAGGTCCATTTCGCCAGGGGGAGGGGGCGTGGCTCATGAGTGATATTCCCATTGGCCACGCCCCCTTATCCCAGGTGTTTAAACCTCCCCTAAGCATTATAACATGAAAGGCGCCAATAAGAGCGGCAGAGCGATTATGCGCATCCCATGCGCAGAGTTATCCACTTGAAGCAACGCGAAGTCACAGCGTGCAGCGCTTCGCATTGAAAAGTTCAAAGCACAAAGCGAAGAGATTATATCTATCTATGCTTAATGTATTATATCTATGCAACAGTTTAAAATTTCAGTAAACTTACAGTGCGCATGAAGAACAATTCACAGCGCTCTCTACTCTAGTGCTGTAGTAACAGACACCCGGGAGAAAGGAATATGATTTAGAAAGCGCTATAAACTCCAGCAAGATAAAGTAATTTTATGCAAACTATAGACCTTTATCTACAAATAAAGAATAATAATGTGAACATTGATCTTGAAGAGAGTGTCGTCGTGTTACTGTCGTAACCGAACGTGACGTGCTGTTTGAATGCTGAATGGAGAATGACTGAGGAGAGATGAGTTTCCATTAACTTTAACTTAACGACTTAAATATACATTTTTGTTATGTGGATAGCAGATGAATCCAATAGCAGACAACAGATAACTTAAACAAGGGGTTTATTAAAGACAAAACAGAAAACAAAACCCACGATGGGGCAAAACAAGACAGGATAGACTAAAACTCTGACAATAACAAACAACTAAGACAGGAACAAACACTTCTCTTAACAAGACTTCCAACAAGTAACTCACGGTCTGAACACACACAAAGTATGTCTCAACATCAAACAATGTACCGACACAGGACAGCATACACAAGGGGATTATAAAGGGAACACTAATGACAAGGACAGGTGAAACTGACTAGACAATAATGACGAGAGGAGGATAACAAGGGGGCGGGGTAACGTAACGAGACAACACAAGCACATGGCCAAACAATTGGCCATGCGCTTGTACACAAAACATGATTCTGTCATGATCCTGCCTCAAGACTAGGAAAATCAAGGATACTAAGGCAGAATCATGACACATTTTTACCTCACATTATGCTATTGAATGACTTTAGAAGTCTTGGAATATAGTGCGAAAACTTTATGGTGCTTTGCAATGTTTTGTATGCCTTTAGTGGGGCTTAACAATAACACATACAATATCGGACCGAGAAGCTGCAGCCGTGGCGGGATGATTTTAGGTGTGGTGGCCCGTATGACAGAATGAATGTAGTCGGAAACACTGCTGATGTTGTTAACATGACCAGTTTGAGAACAAAGTATAATTTGCACGGTTTGACGGGATATGATAAGCGATCATTAATCAGCACGATTTACTCCAATACTTTTTTTGTTCAGATGACATTTTCCGGTGAAAATCCTTATGTTGGTCATACTTCCAATTAAAAGTATAATCTGTGATTGTGAATGCCAGTATCCGCACCGGCGGTGACTGACAGCCGCACACTCTCCTCAAAACATTGTGTTCATCCGCGCTGTGCCGTGCCGAGGCACAACCCACGTAACGTTGATAATTCCGCGAATATGCAGATTTCGAACAGAGATGGCGACAAAGAGGAAAAACTACGGACTGCAGCTTTAAATAAAGTAAAAATAAATACTCTAAATAAAAAAAAAGTTTTCACATACACAAAATTTAAAGGTCCAAATGCCTAATAAGAATTTAATTATCATAAAGAATATTAAACAATTTAATAAATTAAACAATTTTAAACTTCTTTATGATATTATTTTTATAACAATGAAGCATATCACCTCATTCTCATTATTGTACTCTGAATATTGAATATATACTGTATATTGATTATTCAAATTTGTGTTGTTAACTACAACTATTAAACATGCTCTTGAAAAGTTTGGAAATTAGAAATGTTTCATTGAAATAAAACAAGTTTAAGTTAAGTAAAAGTTAAGTATAAAATGAAATGAAATTAAAACAAATACTGTAAATAAAAGTTACATGATTATTTCTTACAGTTGCAACTATGTTTCTTATTGTTGCATATCTCATATTTTTCCTTTATCTCACCTGTTTGATTTTTGACTCTGAAGTGGAAACAGGATAGCATAAAGATCACACATGTTCCTCCTTCAATAGTGTTTACACACATCCCAGGATGCACCTCATGAGCAGAACTGCAATCTAAACATAGAAGCATAAGAATATAGAATAAGAGTTTTCATGTTTTGCTCACTCACTAAATCATTCCCATACTTCCACTTCTCTAAAATGAGAAAATGTTAATATGATTCAGACTGGTATTCTGTGTGTTTAGTGTGTATGGTCTCAGTGGGCAGAGGTTAAGCTCATGCACACATCTCATTAAGCGGCCCATGCTCCGATAGCACGCAACTATGCTAAGCATGCTATTGATGACTTCCTTTAATATCGCTGCTGGCAGCATTCGGGACATTCCTCGTGGTACAGTGGGACGGGGCGTGCGTGCCGCAGTGTGTTTGAAAGGGGTGTGTGTTTGAGGAGAGAGTTTGGGTTTGAAAGCCAGCACAGACACTGTAATGTCTATATTTCTGCAGGTGGGAGTAAGTGAGTCTATTTTGAGAGTTTTGCTTCCGAAAGCACCTCTCAGAGTGGATGAAAAAACATAAATATGTTCATAAGGAGTTTTGAAATAGTTCGGGGAATGAAGTGAACCTTTTACATCTGCAAATTCTCATACTTAAGCCTCCTGGGAAAGAAAATAGACAGGAGAGGGATCGTGAGCACTGTTGTCGAAGAAAAATTCCTTTGGCCGGAGAGTCAAAACTTTAGATTTTCAAACC